CAACTATCTTCAATTCATTACGAAAGTATAAGGATCGATATTTCAAAATAGTTGAATGTGCTTGAAATATTTTAGCATTTGGAGGTTCGCCAATTTCAATAACAACATTAGTGTCTTCTTTATCTTCAAGAAGCTTAAGATAATTATTCGAAAGATTTTCCAAAAATTTCATTGGCATTATTTAGTTTAAACGTCTAGTATATATATAATTGTACGTTACGTATTGGTACGTATGAGTTGTAAAGATAAGAGTTGTACTGTTACACTATTAGGATCAGATGGTATGGGATGGTACAATTTATTAGTTCTGCAGTTACGTCGAGTTTTAATTACGTATCTGTAGATCCATAAAAATTGGCCAATCAATGAAAGATGTTAATTGGAAGATTGGAAATCCAATTCAATGTCTTACAATCGTTTCTGTTTAGGTACGTACGTACGTACTAGAGTTGCAGGTGATCTGGTGAAACTGGTGCACTGATAGTTATAGATGAAACTAATCTTCAACGGTGCACCGATGGTCCTGGTGAAACTAATAAGTTTCACCAACAACTCTAGTACGTACGTACGTATGTACGTAGAAATCAAGCATTAATTTTGATTGGATAAAAAATAAAAGAGTGCATTTGGACCTTTCGATAGAAAATTTCAAGAATCAAATATTTTTTATTGGAATTCCAATAAGATTTATTTGAGGTTTCCGATTGATAACATTGCTTATAGGAACAAAAATATTATGCAACATGCATTTATTCCATTTGCTAAGGAATTTTATATGAAAATTCTTTTATGATGAATACATACTATTTATAACTATTTACTGTATTAACCATCTATATTAACTATCAAACAAATATTAAATACAGTTTGCTAATTACGTTGAAGCGAATTAATACACCACAACATACACAAATGCAAAATTACGTCTTTGTTACGACCGAAATCTCTTCTTTATCCTCAGAAAGTTCTTTTTTAGCATCTGATAATTCTATGATGCCTTTGGTATCAGACAACTTTTTTTCAGTTGCCTTTTTCCATTGATCTTCGACAGCTTCATGACTCTTAACAAAATCTAATTCTATTCTAAGGAGTGCACAGAAATCGTCAAGAGCTAGATCATTCGGATCAGTGCCAAATGGATTTTCGATCTCTCTTGCAATCTCTTCAACACCTAGTAAAATGACAGAAGCTAAAAATACTATAGGTACAGTGACCCATACAAGGTCGGCAACTAATTGAAAAGGAAGTGATAAACAGAATATCCAAGTAGTTTGCAAAAGATGAATAGAGTATGCCAAAGGAATTGGAGATCTAAGAACTCTTTCAAAACTTGTTAAGCAATCTACAAGAGTAGCTACGTTTACGTACATTTGAGTGATCGACATATCATCTGGTTTATCAGTAACAGATTCCCTTTTTTTTAATTGAGAGATGTAGTAATTCAAGTATAATGCAATCTCAAGTGGTAAATTGTATTTAATTACTAATTCGGTACTAGTTAGTTGCCTATCCAGTGTCGACTTTTTTCTATATCCTTGAAGAACACTAAGAATTTTGTTGAGTCTAACTTTACTATCAGCCTCTTTTAATTTGCCTATTGGTTGAATATCTAAACTAACACCAGAAAATTCAGTACCATCTTCTTCTCGAAGATAATGTTTTGTTGCAATTGCAAATCCTGCCAGAAGGTCAAAGACGACTAACTTTTCAGGGTCTATTTTACTATGATTCATGTTTGGAACATTTATCCAAATGTATCGAGTCAAGTTTCGAATCGCTGATATCATGGTTGACCATAGACGTCTTCCTTCCCAGTATCTTTAAATAAAACGATAACTTAGTATCGAATTTATCGAATGTTTTAACTGTGCATGTAATAATAATAATAGTGATGTGATTGAAGTTGAAGTTGTACTTGATCGAAATTAGACCATCTTGCACGCATTAGTTAGCAATTTTAGGCAAATGTAACTTTAGTTAACCGAAGTTGCACAACTTCAGTCAGGTGTCAACTTCAATCACGACAACAATACCGTATATTACCAACACCCGAGTAAAGGCGAATCACCGATTTTGGAATTATTCATAAATCCCTAAATAACTATTGTTCTATTAATACGAATAAAGGTAGTACTTCTTTTGAAATATGCATAAAATCCAAAATTTTGGTTGCTTATTCGGTAACATGTGGTAATATTGTAATATAACGATAATAGTGACAATAATTGCTGCGGCTGATTCGGAAACAACTGAAGTTGAAAATTGGAAATTTCTATTAATTAAAAATAACGTATGTACTGTACATACGTACTAAAATCAACTTATATTCTTATCAGTTATTACACATTCTATCTTATAATAAAAAAATCAACAAATGTGCCTAAAAATTTCGGATTAAAATAGGTCGAATTGGCAGCTTCAATTGCTTCCAGCTTCAGCCGCGGAATAATAATGGAGCAATGAATACCTATCATATGCAGTATTGGTTCTATAAGA